AAAATGATGTATAATTTCCGTGATGATCGTCACCTAGCAGGAAGTTACCCAGCCCCCATCTTCAATTTCCCTGCTCTATGCTGCTCTGCTCGGCCACAGATGACCAATCGAATAAGTCAAACCATGTTCGGTCGCTCCATCGATCCTGAAGGGTATGAGCTTGAGGAATTTTCTGACTCTCTTTCGGTTCTGAGATGGCAAAAAAGGCCTCGGTAAATACAATCTCAGCGCCAGCATCCAAGCCACTCTCAATGTCATGGGATAACACCGGGATGAGCGTCCTCTGGCATCCCAAGTTGGTATTGGAGTCAGGCTTGAGAGCATAAGAATTTGTAGTTCCCGTAGAAGTCGAGTGTCTCCCCGCCACCACTCCACTCACTCCTGCCGCCGACATGACGAGTGTTGAATTGGGCGTCTCTACGATTCCTTCGACAAGGCCCGGCACCGCGTTTTCTGGAAGTTCCGCGAGAGTGGGCAGAGCCATTCCGTTTGGGTTTCGGCGGCCAAGGATTGAGAAACCCCCCTCCACACTGCGCAATGAGCGTATTTTCTCATGCACTTTAATTCTATGAATCCTCACATGCCAGTCAGGCCATCTATCAGTGGGCGGTACAAGAGTGGTCGTGACAGAGACCTGCTGATCCCCCCACGGATACCACTTGACACTGGCAACAGTCATGGAGCCAGACCAAGAATCGGCATTGTACTGGGCGGTAGAAAAGCGAGGCTCTTCGCATTTCCACTTGACAGCCCAAGTTTCGCCTCCATCCCGGCTCAATGCCAGAGTGCTATCGGGTGCGATTTGCTGGATAAGCGGTCCAGTTGGTACAGAGAAGGTGAAAGCAGATGAATACGCAAATTTGCAGTATTTGGCCTGGGATGCCTTCATAGGCCAGGCCACAAATTGACCAGGGGACAGCATAAAATGATGGTTTCCCTGGGCATGGTTGCACAGTATCTGCTGAGGCGCCGGAACCAGCTCGACGGAAGTCTGGCCAACGGGGTAATCTTCCTCTTTGGCAGTCCAAAACTCGTCATTATCCAAAAGGCCAACGACTATGAGACTCTTCATGCACCAGTAAGGAGATTGTGGAGAGTTGTAATCCTCGCACATGAACATATTGCTATTGCGTATTCAGTCAGCTCGGTGATCCTCATTAGACAGGATGAGTTTGCCTTCTCACGGGTATAACCAGCCGATGCTAAGGGTACCATCGACGTGGAAAATGTCGTCCGAGTGTGCCGCCCACCACCTCAAGTGGCGAAGCAAAAATCCCTTGATCGCACCTTGACAATTCACCGGGCCACTCAAGCCAGGGACATTTGCGAATGCAAGTGCTGCGAAATATCCAGCGCATGCAAAGCGATATGTCAACGAACGCCCAAAGGGAATCGCCGCCCCTGAGAAAGAATGTCAGTGCCGAAGTTCCAAGTCTCGTTTAGTTCATCAATCATGAGTACAAACCTGTCGAGTCAAAATACCGCCAGAACCGAACATTGAAATCTCTAGCTCGCTGGCGATATTTCTCTGCCCTCTCAGGATCAATGTCTGCTGCGAAGCGCACAAACAGAAGCTGGCTAAACTGGATAGCAAAGCTTCCTGAATAGTAATCGACTTGGCGCCCGACCCCAGCTGATGCATCCCATCTTCCTGTTTCCCGATAACGAGCATATGACTCCAGCTCCTCCTCCCTTGTAAGCCACGAACCATCTGCCGACCATCCGTCTGATCGGTAAAAGGAGTCAAGAATATCCAGGTCTGATTCCATCTCGGCCTTGACATCGTCCAGTGGCTTGCCACATGTTTTCACCAATGCCAGATTCGTCAAGACTCGAAACCATCTCCAGTTATTCCTCGGCATTGGCAACTCATGTAGGCTCAGCAGCCAGCTCCTGATGTTAGCTTTGGACTCATCCGCCAATGGGTGGTAGAAGTGATCCGGGGCAGCCAAGAGCGCAAAGGACAAGATCTCAGCTTCCACCATCCGTTGATCAATGGCATCCATTGTTCCCCAGTACTCAGGATGTTTCGGGTCTGTGCCCGCGATGAACCCATCAACCCATGGCTGGCAGAGGTCTTGGAGTTCCTTCTTTTGATCTGCATCCACGTTTGGTGATGACAGGGACATGGCAAGGGCGCCGACCGCCCAAAGAGGGCGAGCGAAGCCTTCTAGCTGGGCAGCATTTTCATCGAAATGGGCAGCGGTTGAGATCGGCACTCGTATTCGAGCTTTTGAGTGAGAAAAGCATTTGGTCAATGGTTTCAGCAAAGAAATAGTCGCTTTGATCACATCTGAGCGAGACTTGAGCGGGTTATCGGAAAATCCAGGGAGGGGAGGCATGATGGCGACTGTTTCCAATTTCTCGGATGGCGGGATATCAAGTCAAGTCTTAGCCTCGCGTTTCCAAGGGGCATTGCTGTCTGTTAAACCACATTATTATATTTTATCATCTAATCATCCAGACTCCACTCTCTCGCATCGGACGTCGGGCAAAGGGGCAGCGTGTGGGATAAACAGTATGTATTCAAGTTAGCTAAGGAAAGAGGCTTTGATTCAAGCCAAACTCTCTCACTACATCTTTTAAGGCTAGCACTATAGATGACTACAATCTACGCAAAATGCTTCACGTCCTCGCCCCCCTTTGTCTCCTCGAGCCGTGCCTGCTCTTCCTGTGCTTGTTTCTGTCGCTTCTCCGATCTTGTGTGCAAGAAGTATCCGAAAGTAAGGAATCCCCATGCCCCAAGGATAAAGAAGAAATTTACTATGTAGCCCTTCTTCCAACGTGGAGCTTCAACAACCGGGAATGTGACAAGCGGGTAAAAGGAGTTGATAGCAAAACCAAGCATCTGTATGAAATCGAGTCAGTATTTTGCAATCACGACGGGGGGAATAGGATGAACCTACAACCATACTCCCACTGAAGAATGCTCGTGCTTCAGCAGAATCCTTCAGCCACCAATTCACCGTGGGTGCCAGAATCGGAGTGACGGCCGCGCTCATGCCAAACATGTAGTAAGCGAAGAATTTGAGGTCGTGGGGGATCTCCCAGACCATCATGCAAATGTTGGCAAACATGAAAAAAGCCATGACTATTTGATATATGGCCCAGGTTGGGTAGACCATGCAGAGATTCGTCGCGATCAGCGTGCCGATCACAGATACACCCTGCGCTCCGGTGGGAATGGTGTTTATCTGGGGCACGGTGTATGTTCCGTAACGATCGCCGAGGTCTTTCAGCCACAGTGCCATTTGTCCATGGGGGTAGGCGCCAGAGAGGAACAGGATATAGGCTAGGACGCCAAGATACCAGTGCCAGTGGAAGAAGATCCTCTTGAGTACAGCCTTGGTGATCTTCTTGGGTGGCTCGACGCCAACTTCTCGCATGCGCAGCTGGCCGAGTTCGTACTCTTTCTCTGTCATCCACCAGATCCTACCGCTCATCGGCATGCCAGGAAAGATGAAGAATCCCAGAAACGCGAGTGGCAGCGATATGCTGCCGTCGATAATGAAGAGCCACCTCCAACCAGACATTCCACCGACGCCATTTAGGTTGGTATAAGCAGCAGCCTGTAAATATCCACCGAACATGACGCCTATGTTGTTTGATCTGTATCCTTGAGTTAGCACCAATCCAAAGTATTACAAGTTTCTCTGTGCTATACTCACACATACCACACACCGGCTCTCTTGAATAGTTCTTCCGGCTTGTACCATGACGATAAGATGAAGAGACACCCAGATGCAACCGGGGTCTCAAGTAATCCAAGTAGAAGTCTAGTTGCGAAAATTTGAGGGGCATTCTGAAGTCGGGATTGAGCGAACGTAAGAACACTCCAGGCAACCTCGCAAGACGGGAGGAACCAACGGGTAAATTTAGGCCGTGAGAGGAGCAGCAATGCTGGAATCTGGCAGATGACATAACCGATATTATAGAACATTGGGAACATCGAATACCTAAGATAAATCGAACCATAGTTAGTCGAAACCCCCGAGATCGGTCAATGCAGCTTCATATTTGTTTTAACTTACTCATTCCCCTTAAGCTTGAGCTCTTCCTTCATGCCCGAGACATATGCGCTGTTGATGTTTGACTGATCCAGCCATTTGAGAAAGAAGGCAATGGAAGTGAAGGTGAGAAGAAAGGCATCAAGCTTCCTCAAAAACTTTCTCTCGTCTTCAGGATAATGCGACGGATACCAGTTGAACATGTAAATCCAAGCGATCCAAATGTTCCTGTTGGGTGCTTCTTTCAGCTCCCGGCGCGTCTCCACCTCAGGCTCAACTACAGCCGATGTTGATACTGCCGGGTTGCCAACTTCCTTCTCCAACACAGCCTCGGCGGCAGTCTCTTGTGGTCTAACATCAGAGGGTCGCTGTTCGGCCATTTTCAATCATGAAAGAAACAACCTAGAGTCGGTTTTGTGTTCTCTCTCCAGCAAAGGCGGAATAGGAGCTTCCTGGGGATTATCGGATGCTTTTTAAACACCATACAAGCTCAACTGAACTCCTGGTTCTAGAACATGGACACTCTGTTTGGAATAGAGTAGTGAGGAAGCAAGCTAGACGCACCGTCGGGCATCGGGAGGATAGAGCCCGGGGTGGTAAGAAACCAGGTCATCGCATCCAAGAATGCAGCTCCCCCGCATTCAGCTGACCCCCCGGTCTCTTAGTCGCAGGCCCCCTTTAGCCAAGCGAATGTTTTCCCCAGACGAAAAGGGACAGCGTCACAGCGGCTGTGGGGGGGCACTGGTCCAACTGGGTGCTGGGGGTGATTCCAACATATGGGGTGATGGGCACAAGCTTCCCCCCCTTCTCCACGCGTGTGAATATAATCGACGGCCAGACCTTCTCGACGCATCATCTCACGGCCGCCAGTTGCCACGGCGTCCGTCGCGGGCGAAAGAACGACAACTCACCAACTCTGAGATAATCTGGCTCCCTTACAGGACAGGAGGGGGCTGAACCTTACGCGGCGCGTTATTCCTGCCGTTTCATCATATGGACGCGTCCGGGCCGGCCGGTGTAGCGCCCGACGATGCGGCTTCGTCCCCGGTGCCGGGCGAGCCAGAGGTTCCCTCGTGCCAAGGATGTCGGAGGCGCAAGCTGAAATGCTCTCGCGACCAACCAATCTGCGCCCACTGCCGGCGATTGGGTGAGCCACCCTCAGGGCAAGTCCACCGAGCGCGGCCTGTGTGATTGACGCATGATTTGATGAATAGATGCGCCCTGCGTGTACGACCTAAAGAAGAACAAGCCAGGGATCAAGGCGGGTGCGGTGGGAAGTTTGAGTCGTAGGGTCGGTATGTGTCACGACATGATTGGTATCCCGTCGTCGTGCAATTTTTAATGTTTTCCTAGATGCTTTGGAGCATGCTCTACTGAGGAAGTCCCAGGACCCGACCTTCCTTGGCGAGGATGCCAATATCAGCATCCAAGAGAATCAGCAAGGCGGGCAGGGCCTCGTGGAGATCCTTTCTACTCTCGCGTCTGAGCTGCATAAACTGAACTCGAGAGCCACTCGTGGGCAAACGAGAGGCCGAGACCAAAGAGGTTCTCCGACTGTCTCACCCACATCTCACACATCAGCATTTACATCTGATCGGCGTGATACCAACCCGTATCAGGATGGTTCCCACCGTAAGCGACGTCGGTTGGATAGCTGTGGTAACCCAAACGTCGATTTGGTTGGCCCATTTGAGGACGAGCTGGAGAACATCACCACCAGTCTGCCGCCCCCCGCCCTGTTGGAGGAAGTCATCAATATCTACTTTGATATCATTCAACCATGGATACCAATCCTACACGAAACACAATTTCGAAGTCGGATCCTCAACCCAGAGGACCTACCACATCTAGTTATTATTCTACATGCTATTGTCGTTGCCGCACTCCGCTTCGTAGATGATCCGGCCACCAAGTTATCAGCGGAGGGCGTGGAGCGTCAGACCGCAAAGTCAAGGAACTTTGTCATACTGACATCCATGGATAGCCTCTCGGTCGAAAGCTTACAGTCGCTGACCATTATAGCCTTCAATGATGTGAGTCTTCCTTGACTCAATTTCGCAGCGAGGTATTAATGTCACTAGATCGGTAACGGCGATGCTTCAAAGGCATGGTCCATTATCGGCTCCTTGACGAGGACAGTCGAATACATTCAGCTCAGTGTTGAACCAGATCACCATAACAAGGATCCGTTACTCAAGCCACTGCCATTGATACCGAGATCCAAAGACTGGACGGAGGAAGAACAAAGGAGACGAGTGTTTTGGAACATCTTTTGTCTTGATAGGTACTTGGATTCATTTTGAAGCAACTTTCTGATCGTAGCTGACTTATCGCTTCCTCAGATTCTGCTCTGTCACAACAGGGTACGTATTCCAACGTTTTACAGGTTTCAAGTAGCAGCTAACACGAGCAGATGGAACACGAGCCTGACTTCGGACGATGTCAAGCGTAGACTCCCCGCAGACGGAGGATTGTGGCACCGGCAGGAAGCTGTGACGACACCATATTTCGGCATATGGGATCGATCGACAGCAAAGATTGGCCACTCAATTGCCTTCCTGCCCGGACACTATCCAAGAGAAGATGCCGTCGAGGACTCCACCAGAGCACTTTCAGCAACTCCCGCAGAGCAGACGGGCTCCAAATCCGTAGACATGACGACGGTTGGGGCTTTTGCCTACTGTGTCGAGGCCACAGAGTCATTGAGTCGAATCACAACTTACTTCCTCCAGCAAACGATCGATTTTGAAAACAGGCAGGAGGTGAGCAACTGGTTGACCAGGTTCAAGGAGCTAGATCTCAGACTTGTTCAGTATGTGCCCCGTCGATCGTAGGAGACACAGCCCTGTCTCGTTTACGATTGCTAACATTTTGCTTCCACAGCTGGAAAATGTTTCTGCCACAGAGATGGAGAGACTCGAACATCTCCCGTCAGCCGGCACTCATCAATATGGATCCAAACCTTACGCTTGCTCATGTCACGCATAACACGTCCATGATATTGCTGCACCAGCGGATCGCGTACCCCGAGCCTGGGCGTACCGAGCATGTGAAGCTCCCCAGCTTCTGCAGCGCCGAGACATGCCAGATAGCAGCTGTGGAAACAACCACGATTACCAAGAAGTACCTCAAGCACACTCCAGAGTATAGTCCTGTGACGAACCAATTTGCATTTTGTGTCTTCATCAGTGCCCGAGTCCTACTTGGTGAGTTAATGGCAATACTCAACTACAAAACTGTACTTGCTAACGAGATATAGTTCATTGGAGGCACTACAATACTGAACTTTTGCCTGAATTCTGGGTCCTCGTCGACAGTCTTGAGGAAATGGCTCGACGCTGGGCAGGCCCTGTGCTGGGTCACAAGGCCAGCCTGTCCCTAGCTGGAAAGTACGCAAGCCAGTTGCGAACGCTGCACTCGCGGAGTGAAGCTGATCCTCGTATTGTGATTGATGTCTTGGGTTACTCGAGCGGTACCGTACCAGGCTCGACATCAAGCCCCTTCTTTAATCATGATCTACCACAAACCGCAGGTCTTGCAGATCTGCGAAAGCAAGACCAGCCGCGTCCCGAGTCCTTAAGCTTCGGTTCACAAAGCCATCAGGGAGCAAATGATCAAGTCGGAGAGACAGAGGCGCCACCGGGGCCTGGAATGCCTGAGCAGTTCCAGCCACCCCAACCTGGCCAGATGCAAGTACAGGGCCAGGTACAGCATATGCCCCGAGGTGGTGAATATGCCATCCCAGACCAGGCTCACCCGGACAGGCTGTCGGCCATCTCACACATGCTGATGGACGAGGGATTCATGGCAATGGATAGGATCATCAGCCTTGACGATATGATTTTCACGGCCCAAACGCCCGGGGCAAACACAATGCCTTGGATTGCCGGTCAAGGCCCTCATCTAGGATAGGATAGTGTTTATAACGGTAAATGGAATGTCACCCTAATTTCTACAAACATAATTCTATGCCAGCCCCATCTTCAGAAGCCTGTTCCCAAACTCAATAAGATAGTAATCCCCGTACACGAGGCCATGGTCCCAGTACCGTTTATAGTCCCTGGCATTGTAGTTGGCTGTTGCATTCTTGAGGATCGCGTCAAACTGCTTTCCTTGGTCCACGTTCTCAACACGCACCTCCTTTCCATCTACGAATACAAAGCGCGCCTTCTCTGAGGCAAGGGAAAGATCCAGCGTGTCTGCGATGATTTGAACAGCCAAACCACGATACCTCCTGCTCTCCTCCGCCCTATCGAGCCCAGCTAAGGCCTGCGACAAAATGAGCATCCCATTCGCCGCGATGACACCCGCGGAGGAGTCCCTGAGGGGATTCGCCTCATCGGTTATCGGGGCGTCAAAGTCCCAGAGGGGGACGTAGCGTCCACGTTTACGTCCTTCTCCGGGGACGGTCAACTCAACACACGATGGCGATGTCTCCAGCCTCAGCACAAAGTATTCAGCCAGGCCAATAGCGGTTGACAGAAATTCCTCGTCGCCTGTCCAGCCGTAGGTCTGCGCATAGCCCATGATCGCCCATGCCTGGCCGCGCGCCCAGGTAGATTCCGGGCTATAGCCTTGGCCGGTACGCCGTTCCTTGATCAGCCCCGTCCTCGGGTCATGGTTGATCACATGGATCGTGCTGTACAGGCTCTTGGTCGACCCTTTGGGGTCCTTCTCGGGTCGGAGGTGCGTCTTGATCAGGGTTTTTGCATGCTGTGTCGCTGCGTCACTCAACTCTGTGTTGCCAGTGTGTGCAGCCGCGTAGTAGAGGAGATCGAGATTGCACATGGAGTCGATGATGACGAGAAAGTCGTCGGAGGGGCTTGTGATATCCACACCATGCTGGGTGAGTACATCCCAGGATCTGATGGCCCCGACGACTGAGTTATACCGGGTGTGGAGAGACTTTGCAGCCAAGGAGATGGAGTCGTAGGCTTTTGAATCATGGAATACTTCCCACAGCACGCGCATTGAGGGCTGGATCATGAAAGACATGTCGTGTGTGTCAGTACGAGAAGCCATGGAGTGAATTGGTCCGATCCATTGGGCTCCCAATGCCAAAAGCTGCTCCAGCAGGAGCTGCTTGTTATTGACTGGCACGGCCTGGGGGAACTTGACGAGCCTCTCAGCAAGGGAGAAGATGCTCCCGGGAAAGAAACCGCATGTCCAGAAGTCGGATTCTCTTAGAATATATTTGCCGGCATCTGGGCCTGTCGGGAGCACATATTCGGGATAAGCTGTTGGGGGATTCTTTCATCACGGGTCAGCATGAAGAATATTGATGACACCTTCGCAGGGGACGGTTGGCCTACATTGTCTTTCAAATCATCCGAAGCAGTGCGGAAAATCTTGGCCAGAATATTCTCTTCATACGCTCCACTTAGCTGGAGGCGCAAAGGGTCCATGGTCGACTCTTTGGGGGACCTTACTGCGTTGCTTGGGGCTGAAGACGAAAGGCTGGTCTCACTGCCACTGCGAATCCCAACAGTGCTGCTCTCAGACCCTGGGCTCCCAGTCTCCTTGGGAGCCACGGCTTTTGTAGATTCTGCCATATCGATATCTCGGTGTTCCAAAATAGGTTGATGAAGCCAACACAGAGTAGCACGGGGTAACCAACAAATCCTTATACCAAGCAAGACATACCTCGTGTGCTATTTTGGGACCGGGTGTCCACAGAGGACAGCAAATAGAACCTTCCATTTCTCCTTTTATGCACACCCTCCGCGTGGCGCCTCGTGTATGTGTGTAAGCGTATTGAGATCATTTGTCGGAATGATGTGCTCTCGTGTACGGAGGAATTAGGTCCGCCCATTGACCCGAGGGACCGAATGCCATTAGCGAGCCAATGACAAAGCCAAGACATGGCTCTTTTGGTTTACGTCTGCAATGAGGCTCCAGAGGTCGTCTAGCTCTTCTTAGTCTAGCAGATTGTCCATCTCAACATTGGAAGTTCGAAGTCATGTTCCCAACATCCTCGTCCAGTGTTCCTCTCATCTGGTTTGACTACCCTATAGCCCCAATCGACATATACTCAGCCAGCACATCAATCTCTGGCGCACCCATTAGCCTTCATTTATACGGCACTGCTTTGCTTTGGATCTTTTGAAATGTCCCTATAAAAGCGTGATTTAATCAGTAGTTCTCCCTTATTCGATGTTGCGGAAACACCCGGTTGGAATCATGACAAAACACCTCCGCTAATTGGCTGAAGATTGGCCTCACCCACGATTTGGAGATGAATAGACTTGAGCTCTAATTAATATTTAGCCATTGATTTGACCCATCGCACCACAAATTGACATGATCAAGAAAAGGGCGTAGCGCGGGGCCAGACGCGACAAAACAAAGGCGCACGACTTACACGATGGAATACGACACGTATCACTCTGTCCGTCTAGCAAACTCATAAGGCTTCATCGATCACCACCGTCACAATGTCGCTCACCAGGTCTCCCCTCTTCAATGGTTGGAATCACCCTTTGAACAATACGACATGACTTTCCAATCGCTTAAACTGGCTTCGTTCGGCATCTCCGCCCAATGGGGCTTCCTCTCCGACGAGGCTCCCTTGAGGTCCTTCCCCAGCAGCTTCTACGCGCCCTGGGACGACCTCATCCGGGACCTGCCCAGCCTCATCACATCCCGCTCTCTCACCACACGAGTCAATGCCCTGCCGCAATTGACCGCCTCGAGGCTCTCCTCCGACGTGGAGCTTCGTCGCGCCTATGTGGTGCTGGGCTTCATCATCCACGCACACGTCTGGGGCAGCAGCGGCCCAGCCTCAGCGCCGGCCTCGACGCCCGTCGCCCAGATCCCTCCCCAGCTCTCCGAGCCGTTCCTAGAGGTATGCGATAAGTTGGGGATGGAACCTGTCCTCAGCTACGCCGGGCTGTGTCTGTGGAACTGGTCCAGCGATGACGGTACGTTCCCAATCACAGACGGCGACGACGGTTTCTTCCCGTTGGAACAGCTGCGCTCCGTAGCCTCCTTCATGCGCACGCGGGGCGAGGATGCATTCTACCATGTCCCTGTGCTCGTCGAGGCCGAAGGCGGGCCGCTGGTCAAGATCCTCCTCGATGCCGTGGGCGAGGCCCGAATATCGAACAGTGCACCCGTCCAGGCTGCGCTGTCCGCAAGTGCAGCCATCATCGCCAAGATGGTCAAGCACCTCCCCAAGCTGTATTCGACGCTTGACGCGGGCGAGTTCTTCCACGAGCTGCGGCCGTATCTCGCTGGCGGCAGGGGCATGGAGGCAAAGGGCCTCAGTGACGGGTTCGTATTCCAGCGTGGCGACGGGTCGCAGTTCGCGTCGAAACACATCGGCGGAAGCGCAGCGCAGAGCAGCCTATTCCAGTTTCTTGACCTTGTGCTCGGGGTGGAACATGAAGCTCCAGAGAAGGCATCGGAGACAGTATTCCAGGTATGTAACAAATGTCGACTTTGCGTGGGTTGAAATACCGAAAGCTGATTATATGAGCTAGGAAATGCGAGCTTACATGCCGCGCAAACATCGCGAGTTCCTCGAGGCGGTCTCCCAGCTACCTACGCTCCGGTCTTTCGTGGAGGCGAGATTATCCGATACAGGTCTCTGCGAGGCCTTTGACGAATGCACAAAGCAGCTCAGGCTGTGGAGGAGTACGCATATTGCCATTGTGTCGAAATACGTCGTGCGACCGGCGAGAGAAGCAGCTAGGGGGAGTGAAAACAGCACTGCACAGAGGACCGAAGGGGCAGATTTCGAAGCTGCGGAAGGGGATGAACAGCTGAAGGGGACGGGCGGATCAGCCCTCATCCCATTCCTCAAGCAGTCGAGAGATGAAACTACTGGCGTAACCAGACCGTGATATGCTTGAACATCACTCACCGAAACTTGGATAACTGGAAAATATAGACCGGCGTTGGTTAGATCAGATAATGGCAGTCAAAACTATTCCATTCTCGTCCCTATAAGTAACAGTGAACCACTAATAAGGACTACAAAGTCAAGAACGGCTCCTCCGCCAGATCGAAACCCAGCCATCACCGACCACACTCGCTCGCCGACGGAACCTTCAACGGCTCAGGAACATGCCTCCCCTCAAACGCACTCCTCAGCCTCTCGATGTCCATCTTCTTCATCCCCATCATCTCCACCGTCACCCTCCCCGCCGCCTCTTTATCCTCGCTGTCCAGCATCTCCTTGAGCGCCGTCGGCACGACCTGCCACGCCACCCCGAACCGGTCCGCAATCCACCCGCACACCCTCCTCGCCTCGTCCCCGCCCTCCCCCAGCCTGGCCCAGTAGTAGTCCACCTCGGCCTGGTCCTCGCAGTCGACCTGGAACGACACCGCCTCGTTGTGCTTGAACATGGGCCCGCCGTTGAGCCCCACGAACTTCTGCCCGTTGAGCTCGAACTCGACCGTCATCACCTTGCCCGGCTCCTGCCCGTGGCACTCCCGGCCGGCCTCGAGGTAGTAGGTCTTGTGGCCGAGCTTGCTGTTCTTGAAGATGGAGGTGTACTGCTCCGCGGCCTGCTCGGCCTTGCCGTCAAACCAGAGGCAGGTGATGAGGGGCTTGACAGACATTATTTCGAGGGATTGTTTCGATGAATGGGTTTTTTGTTTTGTGCAGTGGTGGGAAAAAATCAATTGAGGCTGATTGTTCCCTTGTTTGTTTGAATTGGAATGAGTGAGGAATTGAGATGGATCAAGGGCAGCTGCAGGGACAACCTCTCAATAAATACACGTTTCTTATTCTAATTCCTAATAGCGGCCTCAGCCTTCGTACTTTGCGTACCGGCTAGTTGAAATCATTTGTCGTTCTCGTGAGGGGTCGATGCACATTCACCGTGCATAGATACCTCACCGGTGGTTAGAAGGGCATCGGAAAATAAGGTACAGCTCTAACGTGGAGGTAATTCGACTTTGGCGAATGGTGTTAATGTGGCTGGCGCTAAGCGTCGGGAGTCATGCCATGATAGGACCGTTTCGCAGGAGGCTTGTTAGCTAGTTGAATGGATGGCTTGGCTTTGGCTGATCAGCTTTGGCCGGTGTAGGAGATGGTACGTCAGAGGCGTGAGAGTGTGTTCGTTCCAGCAGGCATCAGTCACATTGTCACGAGAGCTAGCAGAAAAAAATGACACGAGTATTTAACTACCTTAGGTAAGTGTTTGTGATTGTGTATTGATGAGAGGAACAGGTATACAGGTAAAACTGCTACAGTAATTATTCAAACTTTTGTTATCTAATGACACGGCGCCTGCGCACTAGCATCAGGTGGTAGGAATTGGGTATCATGAAAATCAAAGGGTGGGCATAGATGGGTAGAGGGGGTCCCTCCTTACAACCCATCCTTGCCAAGAAAAGGTGTCATCATCATCTCAATCCGCTCAGCCATCTCTCGTTTTGACTGATCGATGTAGGCACGGGTATTGCCTGGATGGATGAGCCTGACGAATGGATCATCCCTCCTCACCAGAAACCCATGCATTGCCAAGTTGGCACGTCCGTGAACACGGCCGGCAGGGGCGATTAAGTCGGCCGCAGTCTCGTCTGGGTTCTCGAGACCAATATCCACGAGTTGAGGGACGGAGAACTCTGTCTCCGACGATGTGTGTGTGGCGGATAAGGGAACATACACCGTCTCTGACATACGATCGGAGGTCTGTTGCGGCCCGATGTCGGGAGCATCCAACAGCAAGTCGAGGCTCCCAGATGACGGTGTGTCAACGCCCGCGCTACACATGGAATCATAAGTCTACCTGAGGAGACAGGACAGAGGATGCGAACCCCTCGTGCCGGTGGCTGTACCTTGAAATGGACGGCATTCCCAGCGCGGACGGCGCTGGGGTATGTGCGCTCGCGTGAAGAGCCAGCATCGAGACTGTCTCATTGTTTGCTATGTCACCATCGGCAGTAAATGATTCAGGTGGGCTCTCGGGAGTCATCTGAGGAGGAGTTTCAGTGCTATACATCGTCGAACTCGTAGGTACTGTGGACATCGTGGTCAAGAACAAACAAAGTCAAGCTAGAGTTCAAGTGCGTGGCTCTCGCGCGCGAGGTCACGATTGCAGGTTCGGTGTCAGGCAAGGCAACAAGAAAGAGGAGGAGGTGAAGGAGAGTGCTGGGACAGTCAGGTCAGCTGAAAAGCTCGAAAGCTGGGAAAGGTTTATCAAAAGACGATAGCAAGCTTCCGACAGGCCCCGCCATCGACAACAGCGAGTCCAGTCGCTGGCAAAGAGGGGTGATTGGGTGTCGAGAAGGAAAACCATGGCCACAAATGTGTGAGCTCGTCGACCGCGACTGCTCTAGGACGTGCTTCTGGTAATCCTCCAGCAAATGCTGAAGCTCGTTGGCCAGTTGGACATATGGGTCCGCTAACGGCACGGCAATGGTGGCCAGGAATGTTTTAGCGTGGGCATCATGGGGAACCAACAAGGGGCTCTGAAAGTCGGACATCGCGTCAAGCACATCGCATCCCGGCGATCAAGACCAATAACGTTCCCAGTCATGACCGCGGTGCTTCATCACTCGAACATCCACACCCCTCTCGGGGAAGATGAAATGGGGCCATGCATAACGCAGAGAGACGCATGCTTGAATCACGAACGAATTAAATCGAGGAGGTGTTCGCGGTTGTAGAGGGTAGGGGCCCAAATGGTAGAGGCAGGAGTTAAGAGTTCAGGGGTCGGGCAATCGGGCTCTATGCGTGTCAACTAGACGGCGCGCAAGCCAGGCCTCTCGATAGGCTGTGATCGCACTTCAGCGACTGTGCTCTGGGCGGGGAAGCCTCCGTCGCTTGTGACTGCCGCTTTCCCTTTCTGTAGGGGGGTCGGTTCGGTGGGGTGTCGCGGAGGACCAATGTCTGCATGGTTCTATTGGCGGCGTCAGCTGGGAGCTGTACGAGATGTATCTTGAGTCACACATGCTGCCCTTCCTGGCGGAGGGAGCTGCAAGTGACTGGGTGGGCTTCTCAAGTGTAAAAAGTCGGGTGTTGGTCATCAGAGGAAAGAGGGAAGCTCGTGTGGGGGTGGATGTCGAGCAGGCCCACGGCTTCTCATTCGCCCTGAGGCAGCAGCCCCGAGAACGCCTGGCGTCGATTTCGAGAGCCCAGCAGAGTGCATGTCCGACACTTCCCCAGCTCGGTGGCCTAAAAAGGCTTGCAGAAAGGGCGCTGAGAGGGACATGTTATGTACAGACTGACGGTTGCGGCGAGGCGGGCGTCTCACGTCATCGTGTGTCGGGATCGAAGCGACCGTGACGAATCATCGAGCGGGTTCGAAGTATTCCTAGGGCGAATGGGGGTCACTGGCACCAAGCCCCTTCGCGAAAACGTCTCGTGAGGAAACAGCGCCATCGGGAAAAGGGTGTGAAGGAGCCACTCGCTGTAGGCTGACCTCGAGGCTTTCGTGGCGGTCTCAGCTGATGCAGGTGACAGAAGCGAGGGTGACGCGTCCGTTTCTCAAGATGGCGGTCTGCATGCAGCAATGCATGATGCGCTGGCCAAGGGCAAGCGCGAGAAGAGAAAACGGCCGCTGCGAGAACGCCTCGCGAGAGATCAACTTGGTTCGCAAAGTCGAAGTTGGATGCCTTGGACGGTTGTGGTTGATATTGGGAGAAGTGGGGTCAATGTCGAGTCTTTGGCTCTGAGGAAGCCCGGTTCGGATTATCATATGGCCGACATCGTAGCTGTTTGCCTGTAATTGGAACGAGGCAGTCGTACGTGCGTTGCTCGCGGCAGACAATCACTGGGGAGATAAAAGTCTCCCGGACCAGAAATCGTAGCTGTCGCAGAAGGGCTCAGAACACAAGTGGAAGCTATGCCAGACTTATATGCGGGAGGCCCTGAGAGCAACAGACCCTGCGGGAGGCCCACCCCTTCGTCACAAAGAGGAGCCTGAGCAACGACATGGATCGCCTTCCATGGAGATCCGAAGCAAAATAATATAGCCTAATTGGCGTAGAGCTTCGAAGCTGAATGAGAAAAAAGTCCACCATGCGCCGCCTGCGGCCCGCCATGACCTTTGCGGATTAGCATTTCATGGTTCGAGGGCTGTATCTAGGCCCAACACATGCAATTCCATGGATCATGTGGGAAGCGAGGAGGAGTCGGTCAGCCAGGTGGTGAATCAGCTGCAACCCTGCGTGCCCAATGAAACATGAATCCTCGACCACCAGCCCCGGCTTGGCTGGCTCGAGTCCATGCTACCTGAAGAGCCTCAAGATTGGCAATGGCAATGCCCCCCTCCTTATATACGAATACGCTCGCGGTAGTGGCCCTCGATGTCTGGCCACAACGCTGATTGCCGCCCTCGATTCGCCATCGTTTCAAAATAGTAGTCTCGAGTCTACCGCGTGCCACGTTGTGCTAGCGGCCAACAGCAGGCGCCTCGTCGCATGATTCGCCTATTGTTTCCCGTTCGCGAGACCGGCCAAGAAGCCCTTCGCCCCCAGCGCCAGCATAGCTGCTGCTATGAAGTATGGCAGCCACCGAGGTAGGATTGTGAGATGGTTGCCCAACAAGGCATGGTTTCACTGCATATCGATCAGTAGTGCAACGCTGCGAGTCTTGAGTTCCAGTCCGGAGGTTGCGATTGGATCAAATATCTCGGCGGAGATGTTTTGTTTCCTCATCGCACTTAATGCGCATCCGCGCCGTTGTCATATTTGATCGGCGGCCGTGCTGCTATCCGTCATCGAATAAAAATTATCAGTCGGTTATAATAAACCACTAGAAAGCCAAGAAGCGGTGACATCGCGGTCGCGGTTCGAGGCGCCTGCGTATCTACATATAAACGGACATCCGGCCAAAACACTCGCCATACCTCCCAAGCCTTAAATTGGCGCATACCTTGCCTCGCTAAACATTCCGACGTCGGCAACCTGGATACCGTCATTAAAAATGAAGTTGACTTCCATGGAAGCTTGGACGAATTTCTAGCATCCTTCTTTGGGGGTCCAGCCCTATTATATAACGATGACTTCTGCCAGGAGACGCTCTCGCGGCTTGACTATGGCGTCAACACAGACATCCAACCCTTTTCTTGGTACACGATACCAGAGAGCACGCTCGAGAGCTCACCAACCTCCGTCGTCTGGGACGGGTCAGATATTTCGCCATGTGTTGACCGGGCTTCGCCTGTCCGAGGCACAGTCAGCTCCAACCCCAAGTCCGACGTGGAGTCCGCAAAGACCGAGCCCGAGGAAGAGACCGTGAAGAAAAAGGCGCGCGGGAAGTCATTGCCGCCGTACGCATGCCCCTTCTGTGATCGTCAATTTAGTGACTACCGAGCCCTTAAGTATGTCCACACTTATTTTCTTTGAGCTTGATCCCGTCCCAACCTCACAGCAGGCCGGTCTTTCCACGAGACTAAAAGCAATAAAAAAAGATGCCACAAGCGTTGCCACACCAAGCCCATACGATGCACCGAGGATGGCTGTGAGGCTCGGTTTGCCACCTCCAGAGACATGCGTCGACACCTCGCTGCCTCGCACCAAAAGGAGGCGGTCTCCATGTCCTGCCCTATCTGCGGAACCCATTTCACGAGAGTCGACAATCTGCAGCGACATGTTCGAAAGTACCATAAAACAGGTAGTTGATGATGCTGGGGGGTGGTTTGCGTGTCCGCCTAGCTTTGATCTCGTGTTTGCTCGGTTTCGGCCGCTTCGACGGCTTTCTTCACATGAATATATCTTCTGATTCTCGATTTTTTTTGGTGATCCGTAGATGTGACCGCTGCTTTCGACATCATTCAATGACAAACAGGATTTCATTAATTACCGGCACTGTAATATTTTCTTCATACCTCAAGTCTAGTTTTTTCTTCCAGTTGTCTTTGATTGTTCACCATGTCTATTTTCGTTGGTCCAGTACCGCAATGAAATCACCCCAAAGCCCCGTCCCTTTCCCGGCTTTCTTCTATACCTTTCCCGCAAAGTTGTAAATGCTACAGCACGTCGGTTAGCAAAGATCAAGAGTATGGCCGGGGGGGCAGTTTGCCGTACCTCACGTCCTCCCGGTTCTCTGGGCCCTTGACATCCTCGTCCGGTAAGTGGTTGCGAGAGCTGACATTCACAGGTCCGCCGCTCGCGACCAAGACGGTCTGCGCACCACCCTCAGATTCCGTGATGGCCGCCGCTTTTCTCTTCTTGTTGGACCGCAGGCGCTCCAGGTGCTCAAAGTACTCTTCCGGCACGGGGGTCGTGTACTGGCCTGAAAATACTCCCGTCTCGAAGTCGATCTTCTCGTAGCCGTCCTGGATGGCCTCTCTGCACGCGTCCTTGAGGTCGTCGAGAGATTGGTAGACGACTTCGCTTGCGCCAATCGCGGTGGCCACTTCGTCGGCCGTTTTGCCGTAGGCGATGAGTTCTTTCAACCAGAATTTCTTAGTATTGTTCAGGGTGAGGGACGTGAGCTTTTGGGAGATCAACTTACCGTCTCTGTCCGCCAGGTCGATACCATGCTGTGGAACGACAGCTAGTCAGCATAAAGCCCGTATCACGCTTCCGCGCCGACATGCACTAAACACAGCAAAAGAAAAGATTCCACTAGAGCCGAGGACTTACCACGTGGGGGTATCTGATCTCTGGAGAGCACGAAACAAACAGTACCTTCTTGGCACCTGCTTCTTTTGCCATTTGGACCTGTGGCGCAAAACCGTCAGCACGACCATAAGTTCTGTCATAGGTATCCTATGTTGAAGCATACAATTTCACGAGATGTGTTCTGAAACTATGTTAGCAAGTAATTCAATACGAGAGCTAGCGTGTAGTACGTACGCCACGAACGATGCTGTCGTCCGTTAATAGAACGACCCGGTCTTTGAATTCGGATTTGATGCAGGACAGCTTGCGGCGAATCCCTGCTCGTCGCGCCTTTTGGCCGGGTACTTATGACATTAATTCGTCAGCGAGGGGATGACTTGTCTGAAGCCAAGAGGTGAGTACTCACGAACTGTTGAAAATTAGCCTTCCATGATTCACTAGATTATACAAGACAGATAACTCACTGAATGTGCGGAAAATGTATCTGTTTTTGACAAAAGCGTTTGAGAATGGCTTGCCCATCTCTTGGGCCAGTATGCTGGCCGAGGTATTGCTGGTCTGCTCATTGGGCCTAGTTAGAGATGCACGCAGTGCAGCCTAATCAAGAATGCTCACCTCCGGGACCGGAATCACTTCATTGGCATAAGTTAGCATTTGTTAAGATCTGGTAAAGGAGAAAAGGTCCGTCGGTATGAATGGAAGATGCGGAGGGGAAGGACTTACCGACGTCGATTTCGTCAAAGGCTTCCTTGCTCAGAGTGTCCTTGATCTTCTTTGCCAGCTTGCGTCCCATGTTTTCACGGCTGCGATGTACGGAAATGCCGTCAAGCTCTGAGTCTGGTCTGGCGAAGTATACTAAACGAAGGAGCATTAGCAACGAGTCGCACGAGAGGGGCATCCAGGAGTGGACGTTTACCCATTTCGAAGATATCCAGAGACCAGGAATCCCTCTTCTCGATCTGCTTGAACTGAGGAACACCCCCCTTCTGGATAAAGACTGCCTCTCCGGGCTTGATGTTGACGATATCGGTGAAACCAAGCTGGGTCAAGGCAATCGATTCGGAGGCGAGGAAGTAGTCTTTGGCGCCATCAATGGTAGCAGATGGTCTTGATCCGAGGCAAAGAGGTCGAATACCGTTCGAATCTCTTGGGGGAAATTAGCCTAGGGGCTTTCACAATAAGATAGGACGAGGGCGCACCTGAATGCGAGCAGGCCAAAACCTGCCACCATTGCAACGCAGCTGTAAGCACCGATGCATCGCTTGTACACGTCTCGCAGGGCGGTGAAGATATCGTCTACGTTGGCACGAGCCTTGCCGAGTTCGTTAAGAGCATTCGCAAAGACGTTGAGGCTGTCCAGGTCCCGATATTAGTATATGCGCAAAAGGGGATCTTGCTGGACGACTTGACATACACAAGCTCGGAGTCGGAGGCGGTGTTGACGTGGCGGCGAGCCTCTTGGTCGAGAAATCGGGCGACCTCTTGGGGGTTCGTGATGTTTCCGTTGATCGACATCGATAAGCCAAAGGGGGAGTTCACCTTGAAAAGTAATTAGAAACACATATATTCCAAGTCATGGTGAGATGGACAAACATAGAAAGGTCTGCAAAGGGTTTAGTCCACGATCAGTCAGTTCAAGACGATGCCATGCGGATGGTACTAACTGTGCTTCGGATCTAGAATGCAAGAGGTTAGATACGTCGGGGTCAAGTATTGGTTCGAGGTAACTCACGCTGATGATGTTCCGGCGGTAGGATATCTCAAGTGTGAAATACTGTAGGCTGTGAGCTACACGTCCGTCCTCAGATTTTCACATCTGCTCCGATGCTCACCCCATGAAACCGGGCAACTCGGCAATGCGCCTGCCCTCATCGAAGACCCTATATGCGGTATCAGCACCTTGTGCCACATCCATATCGAATCCAAGCCCAATTAAACGCACTTGGAAGCTAGTCCATTGGATTTGGCCTGGTATACTCGTCCACCCTGGCAAACAGCGATTCCGGCGGCATCTTGTCCACGCTATGGGAACATCGTCAGCCTCAGCTCATGCACACAGACAGCTGTATTATATCCTCGCCCGTATCTCGGTCGCTCACTGACATGTTGAAGATAGTAGAGGGATTCGTGGAGATCGACGGCGGCGGTGGTGGCTTTCGGGTCGCCCAGCTGCAAGATAATTTAATCAGCGCTATGGATTGCTATGGATGGCACGGACGGCCGGCTGGACTGCGGGGGAGGGGTATTTGCGCACGAGAATAGCAGAAATGCCACACATTGTCGTGCTTTGTGCAATAGACTCGGTCGGGAATCGGTAATTGAGTGCTGCGACGACGCGGAGGAGGGAGACCGGACACAGGTGAGCCCTTGTGGGAGCGTAGATAGTCGAGGTGGTGTTGCTGCGATCAACGGTGTATCTTCAATTAATTTTTTTTTCCGGCCCTGCAAGACCGCGACGGGCGCGACCCTGTGACCTAAATCCACCGATCTCGGCGGGGCTGGAATATTTATTTAGTACTGACGTAGGTCCCACCTGGATGGGACAGCGCTCTTAGTTTGATGACTAAGGATTACCTTTCCTCGGCTTTCATTTGGCCACTGTTTCTTAGGCGATTCTAGAATCACTTGCGGCACCAGGTATCTAATTGATGGCTAGGTGTCACTGCTCTGTCCAGGTCCGAGTTGACAAGAGACAAGGAGGACTTGTTTGCGACATTGCCGTTCCTGAAATGTGTCACATTAGATGAATCCTTGCTTGGCTTGGTGACGCTGGCAAATAGGTGACAGAAGAAGTTAGACACCAAATTGAAGAGCAGTTATGAATGAGTAGAGCACTTTCTGCAATAGGTAGATTAATATAGCAATATAAAATTAGGTAAATTGACAGTAACAACGTATTGGCCCTTGGATATTGCTTATTAGCGCTCAATGATACAATCACAGCGGTCACAGGCTCGAGAATAGGCAGGATAATGTTTGAGTGCATCAGTTTCAATGTCACCCACTTGGCCTGCTAAATAAGTGGATACCCGTCGATAGCCGGTTGCTGAGTCATCATAACCAAGATTCATTTCAAGATGCTCCTGAATTGCAATTTACATCAAGGCAACTGAATTTACATTCGTAGTGTCTGCTTTGCCCGATGTCTAATTGTTACGAGATCCGATTTAGAATCTAAATGTGCGCGAATGGGCCAGAGATTCGAACACACGGCCGTAGAGCATCAAGCAAAGCTCTATACTGACGCTCACAGATATTCCCCCTTCGCCAGCCTTCAACGACTTGTTCACAATAAATCAAGACACTTTGCAGATTTCTCCAATATGGTTTCTCGATTCTCTCCATTGACATATCCACATGTTTTTCTATCATATTCCCATAAAAATCACACTCGCTAACTCCGCTGTACCGAAATTGAATCACCTGATTCATCCTGACAATCCTGCCTTTTTATGTGCGTTCTCCCACGCCGTATTTTTCCCCAGGCCCCTTCATGGGTATCCCCTATTGGCTCCACGACTCGAGTCCCTTGACCACACATCCCTCACCGCCGGCCTCCCTTCGAACCAGACGACCAACCTGGAAAACCTTCTCGCCCGAGGCAGCCAGAGAGCCAGTGACGGCGGCAGCGCTGCTGGCATCGACGACGATGATCATACCGATACCCGAGTTGAATGTGCGGACCATCTCAGAAGGGGCAACGTTGCCCGCCGTCTTGAGCCACTTGAACACGGGGGGGATCTCCCACGTTCCAAAGTCAATCTCAGCGGCGAGGGAAGCAGGGAGCGTGCGCGGCACGTTCTCTACGAGACCACCGCCGGTGATGTGTGCCAGGCCCTTGACCTGTCCGATAATCTCCAGTAGGCTGCGCACGTAGATGCGGGTAGGTGTGAGGAGGGAGGCGCCGACGGTCGTGCTTGGGTCCCATGGGGCTTGGGAGGTATAGGAGAGTCCTGCGGCCTGGACGATTCTGCGGACGAGGGAGAACCCATTGGAGTGGACGCCAGACGATCCGAGACCGAGAATGACATCGCCCTCGGCCATGGACTCGAGACGGGGCAGTCTGGTGCTGGCGGTGACAGTACCGACGGCGCATCCGGCGGCATCATAGTCATCTGCCTGGTACATGCCAGGCATCTCGGCGGTCTCGCCGCCGACAAGTGCACATCCTGCTTGGCGGCAGCCATCGGCAACACCCTCGACGAAGGCAGAGCCAGTGGCGGGGTCGAGCTTGCTGCAGCCATAGTAGTCAAGGAACATGAGAGGAGTGGCACCCTGGACAATCAAGTCGTTGACGTTCATGGCGACGAGATCGATACCAACAGTATCATGCTTCTTCAGGGCCTGGGCGATCATGAGCTTGGTGCCAACACCATCAATGGCACCGACAAGGATGGGGGCGTCAGGGCCAAAGCCGGCCTTGGAAAGGTCGACCTCACCACCAAAACCACCAAGCTCCGCGTCAGCGCCAGGGCGGGCGGTGCTGGCAACAGCTTTCTTGATTCTCTCAACAAAGTCGTTGCCGGCCTGGATGTCAACACCAGCTTGAGCGTAGGTCATGCTCTCCTTGAGTGGGTTGGAACCTCGGAATGCACGGTAGGCAATATCCTTGCGATAGAACATGCCGTCAAACTCAATTGTCTTGGCTGTGAGGGCAGCATACGAGGCATCAACAGCAGCACGTAGTGAGTCGCCAACAGAGTTGATGGCGATTACTCGTCCTCCAGCAGTCTTGAGCTGGGTGCCGTCCAGGGCAGTACCGGCATGGAAGATTGTGCTTCCAGCGGGAGGTTGCTGGACATTCATAGGTGTTCCCTTGGCGTAGGAGCCGGGGTAGCCACCTGCAGCCAAGACGACAGTAGCACTGAACTTGTTCTCAATAGTGAGATTGCAGTTATCCAGGTAGCCATTAGCGCAAGCGAGCATGATCTCAGCCAGGTCGGTGTCGGCGGATAGGAGAGGCAGCACTGTCTGTGTCTCGGGATCACCGAATCGGACATTGTACTCCAGCACCTTGGGTCCATTCGCCGTAATCATAAGTCCGGTGAACAGGACGCCGCGGAACGGCTGCTGCTCCCGGCGCATGCCAGCAAATGTGGGTTCCAGGATGGTCTTGTCAACCAGCTCGGTAAGCTCCTTGCTGGCGATGTTGGTGGGGGCGTAGCAGCCCATACCACCAGTGTTGGGGCCCAGGTCGCCATCGAGGATGCGCTTGTGGTCCTGGGCCATGGGAAGGGAACGCATGGCATAACCGTCGCAAAAGGTCAGGACGCTCAGCTCATCACCGAGAAGAAGCTCCTCGATAACAACCTCCGAGCCAGCATCGCCGAACGCACGGTCCACCATGATGTCTTTCAGGGCAGCCTTGGCATCATCCTTGGATTCGGGGAGAATAACGCCCTTGCCAGCAGCCAGTCCGGTAGCCTTGATGACAACATCGTGGTTGATGGAGTCAATATAAGCAACAGCTTGCTCGTAGTCGGAAAAGTTCTCGTATGCGGCGGTCGGGATGTTGTACTTCTTCATGAAGTCTTTGGAGTAGGTCTTGCTGCCCTCAAGACGAGCGGCCTCTTTGGAGGGGCCGAAGCAGGGAATGCCAGCGTTGCGGAAGAAACCCTCGACGCCATCGACAAGGGGTGCCTCGGGGCCGGGCACGACGAGGTTCACGCCATTGGATTGGGCGAAGCTGACGAGGCCAGGGAAGTCGCTGGCGGAGACGGAAGAGATGTTGGACACCTTGGGGCAGATCGCAGTGCCTCCATTGCCGGGGACAGCGTAGATGGCCTCGACGCGGGGGGATTGGCTGAGCTTCCAGGCAAGGGCATGCTCACGGCCGCCGTTGCCAATAAGAAGAATTCGTAGGTCTGCCATTGCAACAATTGTCGATGCCTGCGTGTGCACCGTTCAACTGCTCTTCGTAACTAATTGCAATCCGGAAGGTGGAAGCTTTTTTTCCTCAAGCGACGAGAGGAGGGGGAGGGGCAGAAAAAAACAGTTTAGGCCGAGACTCGGGATTTGGCTGGTGGGGTTGAGCAGGGGCCTTGGCGGCAAAAATATATGGTCACTACCAGGATCGAACTGGCGACGTCCGCATTACTGACACACTGATGATGTATTAGTACGGCACTCTAACCAACTGAGTTAAGCGACCATGTTTGAGGGGAACGACAGAACCAGATTAAGTCCTGGGGTGTTTGGTCTGGTTGAGTCTGCTGGAGCAAATTTAGAGCATTACTTCCTGAGAAGCAGGGAGCAGACAGGTCTTGATTGTTCTTTGTGTTCTGATTTGACTAGGAAACTCTATCCCTAATGCTTGTTGTGATCATCAATAACTACCTAGGTATGTCATGAGCTCTGATTTAGCACGGTCGCATGGTTAAAATTCGTCGTAATCCTAATTTTGTAAAAGATTTTATCAGTCAGTTAAGTTTCCATACGAAACTTTCCCTTTTAGGACCTTAGGTTATTTTAGCATAAATACTATTCTAACGATAGACTCAGAGTCTGCTAAACTAACCTCTAAATACGCCTTTCATTGGTCTAGGGTAGTGCTCCCCAGCTTATTGTGCAAATGATTAGGAAAGTTTTCGTGAGTGCGAGTCTTGATTTCCCGAATTAAGTTAAATCACTGGGGATTTAAAGTTGATGGTTTTATTTACTTATGGAAGCTATGACACAAGTATTTGCGCTGTTGATGGGGTTCTATTGATCCTGAATACCTAGTACTGCCTCACAGCATGAAGACTAACAACAACAAGATGATTGATACGTTTGCATTTTTCGTCACATTGATTGGATAAAGCAATAATGAAAGCCGGGAAAGTAGGTCCAACTATCACACAACAAAACGAAGAGAAATCCACTCTCTCCAAGTACCTTAACACACAGGTTATCAACTTGATCATTCATACTACTTGTTGATTCTAGGTCTTCTTTACTTCGTCAGCGAATTGATTAATGAGCTCTCCACTACCCGGCACAGTCATAGTACCGTGGCTATCCAGCTTCCCATATTAAATGAGCCCCGAAAACGAACACCGTCCGCCTGAACAAGTAAACCCTCCCGATAGTGACCTCCTTCAAATCTACCTTCCGGGTAGTCTCCGTTTTGGTAAGACACCTTGCCATCCCTGTGCAGATAACCCCCGTTAAAGACTCCTTCGCGGATCTTGGCCGTCTGCATACGACTTACACAAGCATCCCATTGCCAGTGAGCTATAGTGTAAAATACATGCAATCATATGTTCGTGCAGCCAGCAGCAGATGTGGATCTAGATA